AATCAATTGAATTGCAATTCATTGACAAATTCACTGCATTTTCGCATTCAATCCCTTCACACAAAACACTTGCATTTTGTGACAAAAAACACTGCATTTTGTCTAAACTTTTACACAAATCACGAAATGCACACAAATTAGACAATAAACACTTCATTTTACCAAAAATATTTATAATTATAAATTAAAACAATTATTATTTTAAAACACAAATAAATTTTATATCAAGAGATGTGTCGGCAATAAGTCTTTACAACGAAATACAGTGTTCTTTGAAATAAACATTTTTCTCTGAGATATAAACTAATCTCTTAATGACCTCCAGATGTGTCTCTGTTTCCAACGGTCCACCCATTTATGACTTCCTATTTCCTAATCTATACCACATTTTTGAAAATAACAATTTAATGTACACTGTTTGACAGTATTACAGTATAATAGAAATTAATTAAACCAGTATTTAATAAACATCAAGAAACACTTACATGATTAAAACCAGTAATTTAATGGACAAATATTGACTATTTATTTCATGTAATTTTATTTATAAATTTATTAAATATAGAGATTTACATTTCATACATTTACCTCTATATACAAATTTGCAATTATAATAAATGGTACGATTTTTAAAAATGTTTATAATTTAGATTTACATATACAAATAAAATTTTAAATATGAATATACTGTACAATTATTGTATAATCATTTTTGTGTGTATTTTTTACATCAAATTAATGATTATTTAAATACTGTATACAGTGTATACTATACGCGCATATCATATTAATTGATGTATCATAAAATTGCCAATTTTGAATCACAATTATTTTATAACCTGTGAATTAAATGTCTAAAACTTTGGTGTCGATCCAAACGATATTACCTTTTAGATACTTTTTTAATCAATTAATAATTATAACCTACTTTAGTAAGCTATAATTGGTATAATTTATAATGATATGATTATTACATATTAATTATCTCATTGCATACAGTACAAGCAAGGTTATTATTAAATAAAAAATGAGCGTAATTACCAATATAATTTATTGAAAAACTAAGTTTATTAAATAATGTATTATTAGTGTTGTTGCTAAATACAAGTTTAACTAAAAATTAATTATTATTTATTTTTGCCATTTAAATTAGCTTATATTGTAACTTACAAGTTGTAAGCTATACTGGTAAAATAAATCATTATTTTTAATAAGTAACAATTAACTATGTACAAAAAATTATTTTATGTAACTTGATCGTATATGTTACAATCTACTGGACACAATAAGATTTTATACAATAATTGCGATTAACATGTTTCGTTAGACCTTGCTTAGTTGTCTGACATTTGCCACAATCACTATAATTGTATTAATGGTGTCTTTTCTTATGTTGAGTTAAACCACACTTTTGAGTAAAACATTTGCGGCAATCAATGAAATCGCAAACAAATGGTTTTTCACCCGAATGTATGCGTTTGTGTGAAATAAGGTATGATTTTCCGTAAAATCTTTTTCCACACTTTTCTTCATTACATTTGAAACGCTTTTCACTCAAATGAACACAACGTTTGTGTTGATTTAAACCATCTTTTGTTGCAAACTGTTTGTGACATTCACTCCAATCGCATACAAACTTCTTATTGAAATGAACGCCATTTTTATGATTATTTAGATGGGAATTTGTCTTATACATGTTACTACAATTATTGATGTTACATTTAAATTGTTTAGAATTTGAATGAATTAATTGGTGTTTATTTAAATCAACTTCAAATGGTGTCTTATAATGACATTTAGGCCAAAAACAGTGTTTATAGTGATAAGTGTTGAGTGTATTAATGGTGTTGTGATTGGAAAGCATTTTATCACTTATTTTACATGAATTCAAATCAATTGAATTGCAATTCATTGACAAATTCACTGCATTTTCGCATTCAATCCCTTCACACAAAACACTTGCATTTTGTGACAAAAAACACTTCATTATGTTTAAACCTCTAAATAAACTTTTTAAATCATTTAATAAATCCAATAATTCACTCATTTTATAATATTAACCACAATTTAATTTATTTAATTGCAAAACACCACAATTGAATGAAACAATGCTTTCTAAGAGTTATACTATTTATCACTAAAAGTAAACCAACGGTTGAAATGATATTTAAAACAAAACTGGTTTTCATTACATTTATTGCTATTTATATAAACTACTGGTGCCCTAACCTATTGTGCACTAATTTTAGACCAACTCTTTCTAAACTTATTTATGGAGAGAGAGAGAGAGAGAGAGAGGGAGAGAGAGGGTTATTCATAAAGTATTTAAGCAATACACCTTTATTTTAAAAACAACACCTACAGTGGTATTCATAAACAAATTGGATTTTAATCTGAATCTTGAGCTGGACCTTACATTGCATGTTAGCCCACTTAACTAATCTCATTTCACAAAACCATCTTAACCCTTTATTTTAATATTATCTTAAATTCAGTCCGATGTGAGCCCATACACTTTCATAGGGGAAGCCTACTTACAGGGATAAGTTTGATCGGTATGAGACTTAAATTATCGAGATTTAGATGTTGTTTTAAGGTGCCAGCTCAGATTAAATGTGTTTCATAAACCAGCAATTACTTAACATGTGAGACTCAGCTAGGACTTAAGTCGACATTATGAATACCACTGCTAGCTACAATATTTAAATCAATTGTTTTTATATCATATTGCATCTTTGGATTTATAAAATATGTTATTTTATTAAACCAAATAATATTCACCGAAATTAATATTGAGTGCAGCGAACCCTCCGATAGTGAACCCAAATGTACGCGTATTTCGCATTACAGTCGCAAACGTAAGTCATTCCCGAAATAGCCTACAGTTGTAGCGGACCGTCAATCAGGCGCTTCTGGACCTCCAGGCGATCGACAGCCGGACTAACGATCAGGAGTTCGCGGACTTCATTGAGAGTGAGTTCCTTCGCGAACAGGTGGACGACATCAAGAAACTCGGCGATCACTTGACTTACTCGAAACGGGTGGGCCCGGGTCTCGAGGTGTATCTCATAGACAAAAAGACCCTGATCTAAATGTATACGCATAGCTTGTACGTAGCATTCACTCTGTACTGTATTTAACGCTAAATATGTGGTTCACAAAGTCATTGAGTTTGCGATACAAATAGACTTCATTTCATTATTCAGTCGAAAGTATGCCATAAATACTAAATTACCTCTACTTTTAATCGTTGTTTGTAGAAATTTTTCACTTAAAACAATATCATTTAATATTATAATAAATTAATTTTCATTTACAAAAATATTTGTTATATAAACACGAATATTAATTAATTATTATTTATTTTGGTTATTTAAATTAACTTGCAAGATATACAGCACTGTAAAGTACAGTAAGTTACAAAATAAGATTTTAAATTCAACTGTTAATAAATTTTATAATCTACTGGACATAAGATTTAATTCAATGATTGCAATTAATATGTTTCGTTAAACACTGTTAAGTGGCCTAACATTTGCCACAATCACTATAATTGTATTTATGGTGTATTTATATTCAAATGATGTCTTTTCCTATGTTGATATAAACCGGCCATTTGTGCATAACTTTTGCCACAATCATTGAAATGACAAACAAATGGCTTTTCGTCCGAATGTATGCGTTTGTGTCGAATCAAGCGTTGCTTTGTAGCAAAATTTTTGCCACAATTTTCTTCATTGCATTTGAATTTCGTTTCATTTAAATGAACAGTACTTTTGTGTCGAAGTAAATAGGATTTCGTTGTAAACTGTTTGCGACATTCACTCCAATCGCATACATATCTCACGTTTAAATGAACGCGTTGTTTGTGTCGATTTAAATCTGAATGTGTTTTGTAAACTTTATTACAATTATTGAAATCACATTTAAATCGTTTTGAATTTGTGTGTATTAATTGATGCTTATATAAATCAAATTTATATGATGTCTTGTACTGACATTTAGGCCAAAAACAGTGTTTATAGTGATAAGTGTTGAGTGTATTAATGGTGTTGTGATTGGAAAGCATTTTATCACTTATTTTACATGAATTCAAATCAATTGA